TTTTGAGTGTTTTTATAATGAAAGGATCTTGAGGTTTGCCAGATGCTTTTTAGGAATCTATCCAGATGTCTTTAGTCTCTTTTAATGTGGAACAGATTTTTGTATTGTGATGAATTCACATAACATACAATTAATCTTTCCAGGTGTACAATTTAGTGACATTTAATTTCTTCACTAGCTATCTCTAATTCAAAAATTTCCATCATTCCATAGCAACTCTCCTTAACTATTAATTAGCCCTCTTTCTTCTTCTTCTTGTCCTCAGTCTGTTGTTGTCTCCATGGACCGGTCTATTCTGGATATGTCAGAAAGCAAGACACACACAGTGACATTGGTGTCTGGCTTCTCAGACTTGGTATGTCTTCTCTGGGTGGCACCTTTTGCACTCGGCTGCCAACTAAACAATTCGTGGTTTGAATACACTCAGCAGTACCTTGGAAGGTGGGGCTGGCGATCTGCTTCCCCGAGGAGTGTGGCCAGAAAAGTCCGCGGGAGCCCTAGGTTCTGTCCTGTAACACACAGGGGAGCCTTGAGCGTAGAGGCAGCTAACGTCGTCAGTCCCGTGTTCCTCCTCATGGCTGCGTTTCCTGGTGGACCTTTGAGAGTACGCGCCTGTTGCCTCTCGTGGATAATGTGACTGAGCATTTGGGTACAGAGTTCCGTGTGGACGTGCTGTCAGTTCTTGGGTCTGCCCCTCGGAGCGGAGCTCCTGGGCTTTATGTGGTAATTCTACACTCACGTTGTGAGGAGCCACCAAACTGCGGTCTCCATCACTGTACCACTTTGCATTTCCACCAGCAATAGAGGGCTGTGCCCGTTTCTCCACATTCTAACACTTGTCATATTCCATTTCTTAAAGTCATCCTGTGGGTGTGTGACATGGTACCTCATGTGTCTTCAACGTGCATTTTTAAGTGACTAGGAATGTTGGACATCTTTCCATGTGCTTGTTGGCCATTTGTCTGTCCCAGTCCTCTGGCCATTTCTTAATTGGGTTGGTTGTCTTTTTATTGTTATGAATTCTTGATATAGTTGGAATGCTAAGCTCTTTCTAGAAGATTTGCCAATATTTCCTCCCAGACTGTAGGCTTTCCCCCACAGTTTTGCTAATGTCCTTAGATGCACCCAAACGGAAAACCTGCCCTAAGTCCAATTTATTAGTCTTTCTCGTTCTTGCCAAATGCAGGGTCACGAGGATGGACACCTACATTTTCTTCTAGGAGTTTGATAGTTTGTAGCAATGGCTCCATTTCAAGTTAACTTTTGTCTCTGGCATAAGGTGGGGCTCTGAAGTGATAACTGTGCCTCTCGCATTGCCTGGCAGGTTTACACCGCAGGAAGTAACTCTCTACCCTCACGGGATCATTAATGAATGATGTGTGCGCACTATGGGTTAGATGCCCGTCTATAGGCCGATGGTTTTGCACTCTGCTCTCACCCAGAGGTGCCTCAGGGGACAGGCCTGGCGACCTGCTTCTGAAGGTCACAGCTTTGAAAACTGACGGAGCAGGTCAGCTCTGCACTTAGTGGGCTATCAGGTTGGAACCAACGTGACAAGAACCCCTTTGAGACGGGATGTTCTTTTCCTCATCAAACTTCCACCTGCAACTTTTTATAAGCCCTGATGATTTAATGGTGACGCTGAGGTGAGCTATCCGAGGGGAGAGACCTAGTTCAGCAGATTTGGAGTTGAGGGGAAAGTCCAGGCTGAGATTTAATGTAGTGCTGGTCAGTCTCTGAAGGTTAAGGTCCTAAAGCACTGAGGGCCCCTAAGGCGTTTCCAGTTTTCCATAGTCTGCCCTAGATATATGTGAGACCGATCCCCACGCTGGCCGGGGCCAGAGGAGACTCAGGGGAGGGGAGCAGATCTCTGTTGCAGGAAGGTATATTCTGTGATAAGAAACGGCCCTGCTCCATCCCAAACCTGGCCCTTATTCTCGGCATTCTAGGCCGGAAAGGCAGTGCCCTCTCTGAGCACAGCACTGGCTCACATTTGTGCCTCTCTGCTCACCATGTCTTTGCTGCTGCTGCTTGGAGGACTCCTATTCATCCCTCAAAGCCCAGCTCAAATACTGCCTTCTCTCTGAAGCTTTGGAAAACAAGGACAGTCATGGAGGGAACCATTCGTGATGCTTTTCTCTGGGCTTGGCAAAACCCCTCCGTCCCGACCCTCAGGGACTCACTGGCTCCTGGGCAGCAGCAGATTCTCACTTACCACCACATGGTACGTCATCCTCACGTCAGCCATGGGCAACACGGAGAAGCCACGTGACTCTGGCGCAGCGTGCAGATGGGGGTTTACGGTGGCCTGGCCCAGGTGTTTTGTGAGCGTTCCCCAAAGAGATGCCAACCTGGTTCCCAGGTTGGCAGGACAGCCAGGCTCCTGGTGCGAGGTGCTACACTATGCCTGGTGCAGAGCTGAGGTGGTGGTCCGCATCAGAGTTGCAGCAAGGACAATGGCAAAGTCTCCTCATTTTCCCCAGGGGACAGCAGGCAGGCCACGGAGGACTCTGAGCAGAGGGCCACGCTCCCTGTTGGCTCTGCGATATGGCCGCTGTGTGGAGCGGCAGTGGCGTGGATTGGTGGGGGCGTGAGGGTAGTAGCTGGAGTGACCATGCTGCTTTTGCCACAGATTCAGAGCAGGCGGCACAATTTTAAACCCCACTCCTCTGCTGGTGGTCGAAGCGTCCTTCACTAGGTGGAGGGTCCACGTGGCTTTTTGTCCTCAGGGCACTGGTGGCAACTGCCTGGCCCTCTGCCCTGTTCATGACACCAGTGCTGTTGCAGGCTCCGTGAGAACCTTCTCCCTGCTCTCGGCCCAGAATGGGGAGTCTGTACCCCTGGGGTGAGGGGTGTGCTTTCCCCTCCTTGTAGATCTGGGTCCTCGGGACCCTGATGGCTGCTGGTCTCTCCCTCTCCGCCTCTTCTCCATCCCTCTGTGGTTTCAGGAGGTGCTGTCTGTTTCTGGGCGGGGTCCTTCCTGTTACTTTCAGGGACTGGGCTTTGGGACACCCCCCCACCCACCTCGCCCAGCCTTCTCCTGAGTGCAGGGATGAGACTTCAGATGGCATGTTCTTGTCAACAGTGCATGGTCTGAATCAAGTTATGAGAAACAAACACAAGTTACCCGACATTCAGAGAGATGGACACACACACACACACACACACACACAACCGGTGGGGAAAGGTGCGTGAAAAGACTACAGGCAGCAAATCACGAGGGCAGCGAATGATTGGGGTCTGCTCCTGGCTGCAGAACGGGCAGAAAGGCCACTAGTGTGAGCAGGGAGTGGCCTGTGCTTTGGACGATGAGGATACCTGGACCTGGGCCCCTCCTGAGTGGGATGATCTCCCTGGGCCTGTGCAGGGGCTTAGTTCTCGACTGATATGGGGGTGCAGTTTGGTGGGCAGGTCCTTGCTCTTAGGAGTTGCATGATGTGTTTTGGGGTGAAGTGTCTTGCTATTTGCAACTTACTTACAAATGCCAGGGGTGGGGGCGGGGCTGGGAACTGTGTGGACCAAGTAAACATGGTGCGCTGTGGCAAATGCTGTAGCAGAACGTGGCACGATGGGTGACTGTAGATGAAGGGTGTATAGTCGTGTTCGCTATCCTAGTCTTTTGGCTTTTACCTAGCTTTCAAAGAACATTTTTTCTTCCAAATTAACAGTTGAATGAATTGTTAACATTGGCACCCCGCACAAGGCATCAGAGGCAGGTCGGGTGGGAGGAAGCTGTCCTGAGGTTGCTTGTCCTCCCCACCCCCTAACTCCAGGGCTGTGCCTGGAGGCCCTGCTGGCTGCAGCCTGGCACAGGGTGACCCCTGAGTGCGGGCATTACCTCCCTGACGGACAGACGTTTGGGGCATTTACCTTTGTTGGAAGACCCAGCACTTAGCCCTGCTGAGCTCCCGTTTCTGGATGAGGAAGTCGAGGCTCAGGATGGCAGCTGTGGTCACGGCACTGGGGACGTGGCTGGGTCCAAGGTGGTGTGGGCTTTCTTCCTGCTCCCTCTGCACCAGGCTGGCAGAAGACCATCCCATGGGGCCAGGAGGGGGCAGCGTAGGCACAGTGGCGCGATGAGGGACTACTGAGGGCGTGGAGGTTGGGACTGAGACCCTGCCCAGCACACACCCATCCTCCCCCCTTGGTTTCCCATGCTCCCATGACAGGGAATTCGGGCCCTTGGCAACGCGTGTCACTCAGACTTGGGCCGCTGGGCCTCCCTCCAGCCACACTCGCTCCCGCCTCTGTCCTGGCCTCGCAAATGCAGAGCTGCCCGCAGCAAAGGCCTGCTCTTCCCGTTGGGCAGGAGCGAGTTGGGAAGGTGCCAGCCCCGTTTGTCAGCCCCCAGTGGCCGCTGTCTGTTGAGCTGCAGCTGGCCTCCGGAGGCCAAGTACTGGCCCAGGAAGAAGGGCAGGCAGCAGCGTGAGGGAGGCTCACACAGCTCTGCACTCCTGGGGCCCAGTTGGGAGGAGACACCCCGTGTTTCCTACCCAAGAACTTTCTCCGGGCCGTCCCAGCGCCAGCCCCTGGGGCCTTGGGGCGCATGTGTCTGGAGCGCCTGCTTGCCTGCTCCCATCACCATACTCCCGTGTTTTGGCAGAATCACCTCTCCCCCCCCCGCTCGGCTCCCACAGTCTGCTCTCCATTTCTAGCCCCACCATAACACTGGTCGATGGTGTGCGTGGTGCAGCTCCCACCAGGGTGAGCTCTGAGGAAGATGCTGGAGAAGGTGGTTGGTGCTGTGACCGGTGCTGTGGAGGGTCAGACCATCTGAGAGGGCCCTCTAACAATGCAGCGTGGCTTCTGTTTCTCTGGAGAAGCTGTCCGGGAAACGTGCCCTTGTTTTCTGGAGGAGGAAGACCTGGAGCTTTTGGCTTCCTGCTGGGATGGGCGCCGATGCCGGCTCGGCCCTCCAGCCAGCCCATCTCCTATGGGCTCGGCTCCCACCCACCTCGTCCCAGCAGCCAGCCCACTGTAAAGACACCAGAAGCCCTCGGTACACATTACCTCATTTATTCTCACAACATGCCTGTGAGGTAGGGAGGGGCAGGGACTGTCCCCATTTTACAGAGGAGGAAGTTGAGGCACACAGAGGTCAAGTGACTTGCCCAAGGTCACAGACATGGCCAAGCTGGAACGGGGCCCCAGAGCAGGCCCTTGGTTCTCCCGGGGCCCCTGCAGCAAGCGCCGAACAAGAGGATGTCTCCAATGCCCTAGAGTCACATACACCGTATAGAGCAGCCCCCGTGCCGGCCACCCGCCTGTGCCCTCCCACCCCACCCACCAACCTGGGCCATTGCAGCTCAGGGCTCGTGACACCCTGGGAGGGTGGGGGTGAAGGGAAGGAGAGGTGGGTTATAAAAACAGAACGGAACAGAAAACAGGGTGGACACTGGGCCCACGGGGAAAGGAGTAGGGAGGGAGGGTGAAAAAAAAGGGCTGCTTACACACAAGGTATATATTTTTACACACACTTGTACACACACCTAGATATAGTACATGTAAAAATATATGCTATTCACATACCCACCTCCTGCCAGGGGCCCGAGACAGTATGCTGCTGGTGGGCCTGGGCGAGCAGATGAGCATTTGTTAAATATACACTCTAAGGGTTTATGTGCATCTGTACATGGACGTACACACATGGCTGCCCTGCCCCGGGGCTGTACACAGGCTCGGCTCGGGACACAACCGGCTCATAATTTTTCTTTTGCAGAAGGAAGGGCTGGAGAGAAGAAAAAGGAGGCTGGAGTGTGGTAAGTGTGGATTTTATGTCCCCGCCCCCGACTGGTTTTAAACCCTGCCCTCATCTGCTTGGAGGCAAGCCTGCTACTGCTGAGGACTGGAGCAGGGCAGGTGCTGGGTTGTGAGAAACCTAGGTCTGTATGTGTGCACGTGTGCATACGCGTGCATGTACTCGGCGAGGGCATGTGTCCCTCTGTCCTCTCAACCAGCAGAGGGGGTGGGGCCACGTGTGGGCTCTGAAGGGAGACAAGAAAAGGACCGAGGGAAACCCGAGGCCAGAGTGGGGTTGCTGGGCAGAGAGGACATGGCAGGGCCCAACATGGCATCTTGTAAACAAGCTAGGGTAAGTTCCCATTAGATCGAACGAGTAAAAAGACCGCATGGAGTCCATCTATCTAGTCACCACGGCCAGCAAGAGGAAAAAACAGGTTCTAGGTTTCTGGATTTGTGGGTGAGACGTCTTCATAACCTATAGCTGGGAGGGACCCCAAAAAGCCAAATTGTGAGCCCTTGGATGCGTCAATTTGAAAGTTGGCTCAGGGTCTCTAGACAGAACAATCATACTAAAGGTTGAGAAAATGTTGTTCCATTTGCATTTAGTTTGTCTGTGTTTTTAATGACTTAAAAATGGTTTCCTTCTTCCTCCGTGGCCTCAGAGCCGAGTCTGGGCCTCGGGCACATAAATCTCAATGCTGTCCGCGCTCTCCGTGGCAGAGTTCTGCCGCACAGAAGCGGCCCGCTTGGCGGCCAGCAGTCTCTTGCGGGCCTCCTGGCGCTGCTTGTCCCCAGCGTCGGAGGCCTTATCCCGGCTCACTGCTGGCTTGGATTTGGCTGGCTTCTTTGGGACCGGAGGGGGTGGTTTCTTCTCTTCCTTTAGTGAGACAGTGAGGAGGAACAAAAATAAAATAAAGGTGCCACGTTTTGTGTGGCACTATCCCAGCCTCCCCGCGGCAGGCACAAGCAAGACACACTGGAATCAGGAAGCTACACGAAGCAATGATCGTGGGACAGACGAGCACAAGGCGGGGATGCTCCAGCAGGGAGGAACTGGCACAGGGCCTGTCCCAGCCAGTCCGAGAGGGGACCTGGAAGTAGGAGCCCCATCTCCCATGCTATTCTTGAGGCCTAAAGCTTCCACAGGGCCCTGAGTTCTACTGTGGTGCAGGGGCGGCCTCAGGCAGAAGGGGGCGCAGCCCGACTGCTCCTGGATAGGAACAGAGATGTCTAGCTGAGGCCATAAGACTGTCACCTGTGTCTCCCAGAATTCTCATGACCGAACATGCAGGACAGCCTCGACCACACAGAGCAAGCGGCATGCGGACGAGTGCCAAGCATGGCCCCCACGTGTTGATGGACGTGAGCCCCCAGCTCAAAGACGACACACGGAGAAGGAAGCCGAGCAGCACTGACCGATGTGGCAGCGTTACTGCCGACCAGGAATTTGTCCCTGGACTTCCCCTCCGCACTGCTCCATGCTCACCTTCCTCTTCTCGGGGGTCTCCACCAGCTGCCAGCTGTTGGCCTTGAGGTGGTAGAGCTCATCGAACTTCATGCTGATGTCCTCGATGGACAGCTGGAGCAGGTCCCAGAACCCTGCCAGGTCCTGGGCTGTGGGACGTGGGTTGGCGTCAGGGTTCTGTGGGGTAGGCGGAAGTCAGTGGGGGGTGGATAGCAAGGCGGAGGCTGGTCCAGCACCCTAGCTCGCAAGTAGGGTTCCTTTGCACGACAGGGAGGTGGACAGGCCATGGTCCCACAGCGAGGTGAGGGAAGCCAACGCTCCATCACGACTGCCCACCCCGAGGTACAGGAGGCGGCTCCCCAGCTGTCCTCCACTCCCAGGGTACACAGACTGGGGCCCCCCTGGTGCTGCTAATAAGTAAGGGAGCAGTAACCCCCAGCTGAGTGTCCTGTGTGCGACACTGGGTGCTTACTGCTTTCTAATTTTCCTGCAGCGGTTTGTACGGTTTATTAAAGGCACTAGAGGTCGGAGGGGTCAGTCTTGTGGTCGCTTTGTTGTGCTGGACCTTGTACTGACACATGTCACCTATCCAGTAGGTATGAGGGCGTGGCCCTGCTCTGCAAGACGGACAATGGATTACAAGACAGGCTGGTGTGTAAGGCTGTCCGGTGGCACCCCACTCACCAGGTTTTGCTCACAGAGGCCCCGGAACTGCTGGAACTTCTGGGACATCAGCAGCTGGGCGCTGCCTACCGCACTGAGGACTTTCCCTAAGACTGCGGAAGAACAGGTAGGAAGAGACGAGTTAGCAGCGCACAGGGGCTGGTTGGGGGTCAGGGCTTTCATCATTTGTATTCTATTTGTATGTTAACTCACTCATACTGTGAAATTACCACCACCACCACCACACATTCATTAGTGCTTAAGTTTTAAATCTGGATTAAAATGGAAAAAATTTCCAGAAGAATTAAACCAAGGAATATGGTGGAGCCCAAAGTATTGCCTCAAAACCATGGAAACCTTTACTTAACAAAAATATTTAAAATGTCAAGCTTCTACCCAGGTCTATATACTCCCTCCCACCTCTCTCACCCTGCCCTGACGTGTGACAACAGCACGGGATATCTGAGGAGCTCAAATTGCATCCTCAGAGAATGAGCAAGGCAAGTGCATTGTCATAATGGGGGGTGGGGAGAGAGAGAAGAGGGGAACCCCAAACACCTTCATGCAACCTTGCCTGGCCCTTTCCAATTTAACTTCGTAAGAAGCCCCCAATGACTATCCTTTGAGAAAGATCTATCTAGACCCCTTGGGAATGCAAAAGAAAACAAGTCCCCGTCGTCACCTTTGGGGCTGACCTCGCCATCTTGACCTGAACTGGCCCAGCAGATCCCCTCGGTAGGCACTGTTTTGATTGGCCCTTTTCATGAACAAATCTAAGAGAACTTATCTGCTGATCCCACAACGCTTGCAGCAATACTTTGGACTTTTCCTCATTGCAGTGTGACTTCCCTTCACCCCTCACTAGTCTCTAAAACTATGAGCACTCCAAATGAACAGCACCGCCTGGGAGGACACTGGCAGGGAGTGCACCTGGCTCAGCGCCAGGGAGAAGCAGGGAAGGCAGAGGATGTGAGACAAGGGCTACAGTCAAGGAAATGTTGTTTTTGAGAATTACTACCCCTAAGTCTATACAAATATCTCGTGCTTCTTCAAACTTTGCTTTCCACGACTTCACATTTGCACAGAGCAAATGCCAGCATTCTATGGCTGTTTTACACAGTCTGTGTATCCACTGTACGGGTGGGCTTCAAAAAGTCCATGAAAAAAAGGGAAGTGCCCGCCACAATCCCTGAAGACAAAGCGGTGCATAAGCAAATGTGAAGAAAGCTGATGGTGCCTGGCTATCAGAAGATCCACAAGCGGCCATCTAGCTGAGAAGCAACAAAGTTCACAGGGAAGAAGCACACCAATCTGTGTGATCATGAGGTGTCAAAGGAATCAGGTAGCAGGCATCAAAGAACAAAAATCATATCATTGTGACTGAGGGGGAGTGTGGAGGGGAGACCCAAAGCCCATGTGTGGGCAACTGGACATCTCCTTACAGAAGGGTCGCGGGTAGGAGACAAGCCAGTAAGGGTGCAGTATAGCACCGATGAAAGATACAACTTTCCTCTAGTTCTTTAATGCTTCCTCACGCTGCCCCCCACCCCCCAATCATGATCCTAATTCTACCTTACAAATCCGGCTAGCCCCTCTGGTACAGATAAGAGCTGGAAATACAGGGAATCGAGGACAGATAAACCCCTCATGACCAATAATGAGAGTAGCGATACCAGGAGGGGAAGGTGGGGTAGAAAGGAGGAACCAATTAGTACATAGAATCCCCTCCCTGGGGGACAGACAATAGAAAAGTGGGTGAAGGGAGACATTGGACAGTGTAAGACATGACAAAATAATAATTTATAAATTATCAAGGGTTCGTGAGGGAGGGGAAAAATGAGCTGATACCAAGAGCTCAAGTAGAAAGCCCATGTTTTGAGAATGATGGCAACACATGTACAAACGTGCTTGACACAATGTCTGGATTGTGATAAGAGTTAGTACTATTTTTAAAAATCATTTTTAAAAAGAAAATGAAAAAAAAAAGAATGGAAAGATAATAGAACTTTTCCACCAACGTTTGGAAGCCTCATCATATTGGCTCAATGTCTGGATTGTGATAAGAGTTAGTACTATTTTTAAAAATCATTTTTAAAAAGAAAATGAAAAAAAAAGGAATGGAAAGATAATAGAACTTTTCCACCAACGTTTGGAAGCCTCATCATATTGGCTTTTTAGTCTGATACAGGTTACTTTCCCATATAAATTAATGGTAATTGCTTCTTTAAATATTCTCTCCCAGTTGCTGCATAAAGCAGCGAGACATAGTTTTAAAATTTCTCCAGAAATCAATGACGTTACTCCTTGGATTCAGGAACCAAACAAACCCACTTACCGTGAAACTGCTCAACACCAGACGGAGGTGCTCTGGAAAGCAGCCAGTGGTCATTGAGATTACCGTTCAAGGAGGGAATGAGACACCACAACAATGGAGGATTCCCCCCCCAAATATGTTCAAGCTACTGAGGGAACAATATCGTCAACAAAGAATTCTAGTCCCCGGGAACTGATCTTTCAAGACAGTGTTTATTGTACCATTAATAGAGCCTTACCATAAAAGATCCCTTTCTATGTAAATAAGTACATATAGGAGAAAGAAGGAATAAGTCTGGTAAGAAAGCATCTCAAACCATAAGATCAAAGAGACGGGATTAAAAAAAATCAAGATCCAACTCAAATACTGGACAATGTTATGATATTAATTGGTGACTAGAGTTCGTATATTCTAACCTTTTAAGTGTACAGAGAAAGGGCATAAAATAGTTTTGATAGCCATTAATAGAGTTTAATAGGTAACCACAAGGAGGAGGAAAAGTATAATTTAAAACCTAGTAAAAGAGGGATCTTCAATCCTAATTATGGACGCATAATTTTGCCCACCCCTCCTCTGGGGCAGGGGGTGGTAATGAACCACAGAAATGTGGGTGCAGGGAGACAGTGGTTGGTGTAAGACATGAAAACAATAATTTACCAAGGGCTCAAATAGGAAGTATTTAGAAAATGTTTAGAAAATGATGGCAACAAATGTACAACTATGCTTGATACAATTGATGTGTGGAATGTTACAAGAGCTGTGAGAGCCCCCAATGATTTTTTTTAAAAAAGGAACTCAAATTATTTCCAAAAAGTCTAACTAAAAAAATAAAATTTTTTTAAGTCTAAAGTTACATAACAACTTTTGCAATCCAGACCTCTATGATGGAGGCTGTTGAATAGAAGCCACACTGGATAAGCCATGTAATTACTAATGAAAAATGGTGGCATATGACCCTAAAAATAAAAAATACTGATAAAAGGTGACTATATTCACTAGAAAACTCAACTAACATGCATATACCAGCACAGCCTCCAAAGTACAGAGTGAAAGACTGCAAGAAGACCCTGGTGTGCCCATCCGAGTAAAAGGCCACAATATGTGTCTCTCTCAAGAACGGACAGCAGAGTATCTGAAGCATTCTAGTCCATAAAATATTTTCCAATAAGTCTCAAAGAACTGGATACCACACAGGTTTTATTTTCTGACATTAACATATTTAGATAAGAAAATTAAAAAAAAAAATCTACCCCCCCAACCTAGATTCTCAATATGTAGACTTTTAAATCCCACTGGTCAAAGCAATCACCATGAAAGTTCCAATACTGCATATACTTCCGTGCCAGGTATGGCTCAGGCAGTATTTGTTGGAAATGCAAATGCCCAAGAACTTAGGTGTTAAAAGGAGGATGGGCTAAAAAGGAATGTGCTGAGCATTCAATTTAAGACATTCTAAAAGGTAAAATACAACAGGTCCAAAGAGAAATAACAGAGGGCTAATAAAATGAACAAATTTCAATAATTTTGATCAAGAACCGCACTGCCCCCACTCCCCCAGTACATGGCATAACCACACTGGCGTAGATCTTAAGAAGTTGCATGAACTGCTTCACATGAAAACACAAGCTGAGTGTTTTCTGAGGGTAGGACACACATGGACACCAGTTAAGCACTCAGGTGCTAACCTGCTCCCTGTTAACCAAATCCCACTGCGTCGAGTTGATTCTGACTACACAGTGTTTCACTTTACAGGAGTGGACAGCCTCGTCTTTCTCCTGTGGGGTCAGCAGTACAACGCTACCAAACAGCACCATCGTTAGCAGAACCGCTACACTGTACAAATGAGTCGGCAGCAACTCAAAGCACCTTATCAACATTAACAAATCAAATCAAGTAATGTATTAACATAGTGTATCACAGTGGTTCTCAACCCGCGACCCTTTCATACAGTTCCTCATGTGGTGGTGAACCCCCCCCCAACCATAAAATTATTTTCTTTGCTACTGTTATGAATCGGGCGACCCCCAAAGGGGTCGTGACTCACAGGTTGAGAACTACTGGTGTATTATATCTGGGTTTGTTCTAAGAATGCAACACTAATTTAAAAGATTAGAAGTTATTAGAATTTTCTGATTCTGGCTATAGTTTACCAGTTGGTATCAAGCAAACAGAATCTTCCCATCAAAAACAACTGAAAATGTTAAAATATATATTTTTAAAAGGCCTTGATCAAAAATTTAAAAAGGTCTTGATCAGAGGTTCAATTCAACAGGAAAAGAAAAAAAAATCTTAATTTCAAGGCATTAACGAATTACCAAATCAATGAAAATATAAGACCCATGAAAATAATTTATCAGGGGGTCCACGAGGGTGGGAGAGGGAGGAAAGAGGAGCCGATACCTAGGGCTCAAGCAGAAAGAAAACGTTTTGAAATGATGATGGCAACTTGTCTACAAATGTGTTTGAAACAATTGATGTATGGATTTTTATAAGAACTGTAAGATCCCCCAATAAAATGATTTATTAGTTAAAAAATAAAAATAAAAGACCCAAGAAGGGAAAACAAAGTACGTGAGTCTGACAGTCTATACTGCTTACCCTCACTAGCGGTGGTTCCTCATGTTGTGGTGATCCCCCCCAACATTTTCGTTGCTACTTCATAAGTACAATTTAGCTACTGTTATGAATTGGGCGACCCCTGTGAAAGGGTCATTCAACCCCCAAAGGGGTCGAAAACCACTGTCCCCAAGGCATCCACCAATCTGTTAGTACATACATCAGCAGAGAAGCTGATTAAGA